CATACAATTAAAATACATTTAACAAATATGCACGAGATAAAACTTGGTCACCGGAAATAAAACAGAGTTCACCCACTTTAGTTCAGATCTCCAGATGTAGGGTTACCCGAATTACCAAGCAGGCGCGTAGTCTACGTACACTGCCATTTCTCACGATGGGAGAGAGTGTTTGGGTTTGAAATCCCACTTGATAAAGCAATTTTGGAGACAGTCAGCCTTTCAAGTGGAGGAGAATGATGCTTTCTTTCATTTGGGGAGTGAGCTTGTCTCTCTGTGGATCCTAAAGAACAAATAAGAAAGCAATGAGGAACATGCAAGAGCAAATTTTCAGTTTAATTGCCCTTCTTGTAGGAGTACACTGCTGATCCCAACAAGTGAAGAAAGCTCAGCTGATCATCTCCTCCAAGAATGCCTACAGCTACTAGCTTTGAACCGGCATATTGCAGACTTGCAGAGAAAGCAAAGAACACAACTTTTAACCTATTCGGACTAAAAAATTTCGAACGTGGAAACCAGAAGATGCTGATATGCGTCTCTAAGTATGGTCAATGCTTACCTCATGTGTCATCGAAATTTCCTGCAAGTGCCAATCTTTTTTGTTCCATTACCAGCGTTTATGATGAGACAGTTCAAACCTGCTCATCAGCTTCTTCCTTTCAGTGGTTGTGTGCGGAGCACCAACCTGAACTGAAGCAATTACCCCCAGATAGCTTTGCTGATTCGTTTTTAGAAAACATTTGTTTATAGATTTATAAGTTGACAAGAGGTGCAGAAAAATTAAAGTCCACAAAGTCGGCACTTCGTACTTGGAGAGCAAGGATCATGAACCATGCTAAGAGGCAAAGGAATCAAGACGATGAGGACGGAGAGGATTTTGAATCTTTGCTACAATACATTGAAAAATTGCCTGAACTAGCTACACCACTAGCTACACCTTCGTGTTCCACGGGTATTAAAACTATTGTTTTCCTGTGTAGGTTCTTGTTGTACCAAATCACCTCAGCAACATTCATTGCATTAATCTTCTGATTTAGCTTATTTCAGTTTGGTATTTTGAGTAAGGATAGTACACCATCTCTTGGATTCCTGGTGAACTTAAGATGGGTGACACTGGTATCTGCCATTATTGTAGACTCATCTCTAGCTGGGATTTATCGATTTGTGGTATTTGGTTTACTTTTCATCGCCTTGGTGTATAGCATGTTAACTGCAACCTAGTTACAGGGCTAAGTTAGCAGCAGGGTCAATGAGCTGGTCGAATTGACAACAATATCTCTGTATATTGTTACTTCCTTTAAGAAGTCCTGAACCAACCCCTGGTATTTTTAATGTTCAAGTATAACTAACATTTACATGTTTCATGTTATTTATCATGCTATTATCATTTTATATGTCGTCAAAACTGCAAAATATCTATCTATCTATCTATCTATCTATCTATCTGTCTGTTTATCTAGCATTTGTGACATCGGAAACATAGGGAAAACCACATCTGGTTACATAAAGTCGAGATCATCATGACTTTTGGATGTTGGGTTGTGTTGATTGTGTTCTAGATTTTTTCGGATGAGTAACTTCGACATACTATAATTGTGATTTTAAAATAATTGTGGTAATACTACTTGTTTGTAATCGGAATCTTACATGCGTTACAGGTCCACGAGTATTTACAACCCCACAGAATCTCCATCCACCATCCGTTCAAAAAAAAAGAAAAATCGTTCTTTTACGGCCCCTGCCAGATGATAGAACAAGTCATTATGGTTATAACGAGCCGTACCACACATTTCTGCGATACGCGGAACCATAGGCAGCAGGCGGGCTGCCGTCCTCACACACAGCTTCGGGGGTGGCGTACCCAGCGCACAGCAGGCGCCCATCCCGCCCA